TTCATTAGAAAGAACCACAGTGAGGCTAGCGCCATGGTACGGTGGGTTAAGCTGATACCTCCAATGCTGGTAGCCTGCGGGTACCAGCCTGAGTCCTAGTTCTGCTCCACACTGAAGTGCCTGAGAAAGTAGCAGGAGATGGCCCCATGCTTGAGACCCTGTCATCCACAGGGGAGACCTGACGGAATTGCAGGGGCCTAGTAATAGTGGCCATTTGAGGCGGTGAACTGGTAGATGAAGATCTGTGCTTCTCTCTTTGTAGCTCTGCCTTTCAAATAACTCACCCTTAAGACAAAAACAAAAGCTCAGACCTGCACCATGGCTCAATGGCTAAATCCTCACCTTGCAAGCATTGGGATCCCATATAGGTCAGTTTGTGTTGCTGCTGCTCCACCTCCCTTCTAGCTTTCTGCTTAAGGCCTGGGAAAGCACTACAGAATGGCCCAAAGCCTTGGGACCCTGCACCCACATGGGATACCTGGAAAACTCCAGAAATCTGATCCGCCTTTGCAATAAAAATAAACCTTAAAAAAACAAAACTGGAAGCTCCTTGGGAAAATGGCTGACCAGAGCATTGTCAAGATGAGCTCTGAACATCTGTGCATAAAACAGACTGCAGGTCAACAAAGGGACAAAGGATAACAGCCTCAAGAGGGTTCCGTAGGCAAATGTGGAACAGTGAGCATCAGATACCTCATGATGACATCAGACTGCGCCCTGCAGCAGTTTTCCAGAGACACAGACAACATTATGTCTCCTGCATGCGCTGCTGATATTCTTGCCCATCTTCCCTCCAAGTGCGAGTTCCTTGTACCTCCTCTTTCCTCAGGCACCAACGATGCTGTTGATCTGCCTCAGAGCTACCTAGGTGATGCTTTACACTGCAGAACACAAATAAACCATCTCCTCTGGGTCTCCCATGTGGGTAGCAGATTCCAAGTACTTGGAGCCATCCTCCGCTGCTTTCCCAGGAGCATTAAGAGCTAGATTGGAAGTGGAACAACTGGTATCGGAACTGTTGTTTATGTGGTGTTGGCATGTAGGCAGTAGCCCAACTAAAATACCAACCTCTCCAATGTTTATTTCTATATTAATCTATATTTTGAGTTTATTTTATTTGGAAGCCAGAGAAAAGAACAGAGATGGTTTGCTGCTTATATGCCTGTAACATCTGGTATTAGGCCAAAGAAACAGGAGCTCTTCCATGTCTTTGGTGTGGATAGCTAGAACCAGCTGCTTGAACCACCACGTCCTGCCTCCAGGGTGTGCCTCAGTAGGAGGCTAGGCTCTAAGCCAGGCTTAGGTGGGGTTCAGTATCCACAGTTGCTGGGGAGCTGCGGTATACACACTGACAGTTGAAAACAGGCTGCAGCCCACTACTTAGTCCAGGGATATACCAGGATTGATGTAGGGTGATATCTTTTCCAGTGCTTTAAAAATAGCTTTACTAGTGTAGAATTTTGCTGCTCTGGGGGCTGGCATGGTGGTGTAGCAAGCTGATACTTTGCTTGTAGCAGCAGCATTCCAAATGGGAGCCAGCTTGAGTCCCAGCTGCTCCCTCCTGACCCACCGCCCTGCTCATTCACCAAGGAGAGCAACAAGAGAACCAGCAGATGGAAGATCTGTCTTGGTGTCTCTGCCTCTGTAACACTTCCAAGTAAAAAATGGATCTTAAAAAAAATTATCTCTAGCATATTCAGCATGTTTCACCACAGTTTCTAAACATCTCATTATTCCAAAAAGAAATTATGTTCCCTTGCCATCACCTCCCAGCTCTCCCAGCAGTATCCTCTTAAATTTTGTCTAACGAATTTACTGTTGTTTGTATTTTCTCTAAATGTCTGACTGCTCTCACTCTGCAGTGTCTCTGCACAGACCAGCACTTCACTCTTGGCATTGTGTTGTGGGCATCTGGGTGCTGGGTACTTTCTGATCATGGTGAAGAATGTAGCTCTTGGCATCTTGGTGTGGTGTTTGTGAATGTCTTTCTCTTGGGGGCTGTTAATAATTTGGTAGTTAACTCTTTTTTTTTTTTAAGATTTATTTATTTATTGCAAAGTCAGATATACAGAGAGAAGGAGAGACAGAGAGGAAGATCTTCTGTCCGATGATTCACACCCCACGTGAGCGCAACGGCCAATGCTATGCTGATCTGAAGCCAGGAGCCAGGAACTTCTTCCAGGTAACCCACACGGGTGCAGGGTCCCAAGGCTTTGGGCTGTCTTCAACTGCTTTCCCAGGCCACAAGCAGGGAGCTGGATGGGAAGTGGAGCTGCTGGGATTAGAACTGGCGCCCATATGGGATCCCGGAGCGTTCAAGGCGAGGACTTTAGCCGCTAGGTCACGCCACCGGGCCCAGTAGTTAACTCTTGAGGAAATGTCAGACTGTTCCATTTTTTAAAAACGATTTGTTTTTATCGTAAAGTCAGGTTTACAGAGAGAAAGAGAGACAGAGAGAAAGATCTTGCATACACTGGTTCACTCCCCAAATACCTGCAGTGGCCGGAGCTGAGTGATCTGAAGCCAGGAGCTTCCTCTAGGTCCCCCACGAGCGTACAGGGTCCCAAGGCTTTTGGGTCATTCTTGGCTGCTTTCCCAGACCACAAGCAGGGAGCTGGAGGGGAAGCAGAGCAGCTGGGACACAAACCCCCATCCATATGGGATCCCAGTGCATGCAGGGCGGGGACTTTACTGGAGTACTGCCCTGGGCCCAGTCAGACTGTTTCTCAAAGTGGCTGCACGGTTTCATTTTACTCTGTAGGATTATATGAATGCTAGTAGTTTTGTTTCCTGGACAACTCTCATTATTTCCTTTCTTTTTTTTTAACAAGTTTATTTTGAAGAAATATATAGAAGAAAGGATAGTGAGTTCTTCAATTGATTGTTTCCTCCCCAAATGACCTCAGTCACCAGGGCTGGAAACAAGGAGTTTGGTCCAGGTTTCCCTCTTGGGCGGCAGGGCTTATATCCTTGAACCATCTTCAATTGCATTCCCATTCACATTAGCGGGGAACTGGATTGGCAGTGAAACAGCTGGGGCTCAAACTGGTGTCTTATTTATTTTTAAAAGATTTACTTATGTATTCAAAAATATTTTTTTTTTAAAGATTTATTTTTATTATTTTTTCATTGGAAAGGCGGATATACAGAGAGGAGAGACAGAGAGGAAGATCTTCCGTCCGATGATTCACTCCCCAAGTGAGCGCAACGGGCCGATACTATGCTGATCCGAAGCCAGGAGCCTCTTCTGGGTCTCCCGCGCGGGTGCAGGTTCCCAAAGCTTTGGGCCGTCCTCGACTGCTTTCCCAGGCCACAGGCAGGGAGCTGGATGGGAAGCGGGGCTGCCGGGATTAGAACCGGTGCCCGTATGGGATCCCGGGCGTGCAAGGCGAGGACCTTTAACCACTTGCGCCACCGCGCCGGGCCCTCAAAAATATTTTTATTGGAAAGGTGGACATACAGAGAGGAGGAGAGACAGGAAGATCTTCTGTCCGATGGTTCACTCCCCAAGTGGCTGCAACAGCCAGAGCTGAGCCAATTTGAAGCCAGGAGCCTTCCCCAAGTCTCCCACATGTGGGTGCAAGATCCCAAAGCCCTGGCGGTCCCCGACTGCACTCCCAGGCCACAGGCAGGGAGCTGGATGGGAAGTGAGGCCGCCGGAATATGGACTGGTGCCCATATGGGATCCTGGCACGTTCAAGGCAAGGACCCCAACCACTATGCTATCACATTGGGTCTGAAGATTTATTTGTTTTTATTGGAAAGTCAGATCTACCGAGAGGAGGAGAGGCAGAGGGGAAGATCTTCTGTCCGATGGTTCACTCCCCAAGAGGCCACAACGGCTGGAGCTGCGCCAATCCGAAGCCAGGTGCCAGGAGCTCTTTGGGGTCTCCCACAAGGGTACAGGGTCCCAAAGCTTTGGGCCATCCTCGACTGCATTCTCTTTGGGCATCCTCGACTACATTCTCAGGAGCTGGATGGGAAGCGGGGCTGCCAGGATTAGAACTGGCACCCATATGAGATCCCGGTGCATTCAAGGCGAGGACTTTAGCCACTATGCTATTGTGCTGGGCCTGTCTTATTTGTTTTTTAACAATTTATTTTCATTGGAAAGGTGTATTTACAGAGAGGAGGAGAGACAGAAAGGTCTTCCATCTTATTGGTTCACTCCTGAAATGGCTGCAGCAGCCATATATAAGTGCTCTGAAGCCAGGAGCCTCTATTGTGTCTCCCATACAGGTGCAGTGTCCCAAGGATCCTGGGCCATCCTCCTCTGCTTTCCAAGGCCACAGAAGGGAGTTGGATGGGGGCTAGACAGGACATGAACTGGTGCCATATGGGATGTCAGTACTTGGAGGTGGAGAATTAGCCAGTAGAGCCATTGCACTGGCTGCTCAGATTGGCATCTGAAGATCTGTCAAATATGATGCCAATGTTGTAGGCAGCGGTTTAACTTGTTGTCCTGCAGCACTGGCCTCCCCACCATTTTTTTTTTTTCTTACAGATTTTTTAATTTGAAAAGGAGAGTTAAAAAGAGAGGGAGAGAGAGATGTATCTATCTGCCATCTGCTGTTGTTCCCCAAATGGTCACAGCAGCTGGAGCTGTGCTATGATGAGCTGAAGCCAGAAGCCAGAAGATCCTTCTGGGTCTCCCACATGGGTGCAGGAGTCCAAGCACTTGGGCCGTCCTCCACTGCTCACCCAGGCCACAAGCAGGGAGCTGAAGGGAAATGGAGCAGGTGGGACATGAAGCACCCTACCTGGGGTGCTGGCAGTGGCAGGTGGAGGATTAACTTTTTATACCATTCTGCCAGTCCCCTATTTCTTTAAGGTTTATTTTAACTGGAAACACAGATTTACAGAAAGAAGGAAAGACAGAGAAAGATCTGTCTGCTGCTGGTTCACTCCCCAAATAGCCACAATAGCTGGAACTTAGCTGATGTGACACCAGGAGCTTCTTGCAGACCTCTCAGATGAGTGCAAGAACCCAAGCCTTTGTGGCATCCTCCACTGCGTTCCTAAGCCTCAAGCAGGGAGTTGGGTCGGAACTGGTGCCCAAATGCGATGTCAGCGGTATCTGGTAGAGAGGATTAGCGAGTTGAGCCATTTTTTCTGATACCAGCCTCTAATGTTTTTAAAAGTTTAATTTTATTCTCAGAATCATCCATTTTGTAGTTCACTCCCCAGATAACAGCAGCAGCTGGGTCTCTAGGCCAAGCTGGTTATAAGTTCCTGATAAAAAATGTGATATGTAAGTATTTTGTTCAATTTTGTGGATTGTTTGCTTTTTAATAATGTCATCTGGAGCCAGAAGCGTTGTCTTTTCATAGTCTAACTTACTTTTTATTGCAGAACTTTTTAGTGTCATATTTGGGAATTTATTACCTGTTCCAAAATTGTGAACTTTGCTGTTTTCCTGTAAGGGTTTGTAGATTTTCTTATGTGTAAATATGTGGTCCTCTTTTGTTTATGGTGTAAGGAAGGAGTTCACTTTGATTTAATCGAGTGTGTATATTCAGTAGTCCCAGCTCCATTTGTTGAAAATGACTCTCTGTTTCCAGTGTGTTACTAGTCTGTTAATATACTGTTTTGTGTAGATGTGTGTATATACTTACTGTGATAATATTATTTTCTTTTTAAGGAAAATTTCAAAAATGTTTCAAATACCAGTGGAAAATCTTGACAGCATTAGAAAGGTGCGAAAGAAGGTCAAAGGCATTCTCATGGACATTGGACTTGATAGCTGCAAGGAGCTGCTGAAGGTAAGAAGTTATAACAGGGTTGAGGAGGGGAGTGCTGGCTTATGGAGATCACACTTGAATTTTTTGAAGGATGGGTAGGAGTCTGCAATATGGACATTGCTTATACTACAAATCTCTTCAAAACTTGTTTTTCTTTCCATTTCCAAACTGTTTAAGTTGTTCAAGGCTTTGCTTATTTTCGTTGTTATTTGCAAGGGAGAGAGAAAGATAAAGAGATCTTCCATCTGCTGGTTCACTCCTTATGTAATTTCAACAGCCAGGGTTAGGCCAGACAAAAAAGAATCTGAAACTCAATTTGTGTCTCTTCTCAAGTATTTGACTGTCTTCTGCTGCCCCCCAAGCTGAACTGAGGCAGTCAGAAAGAAGCTGAACTGGAACTGCAGTGTCCAGAACTCAGCCCAAGCACTCCAACGTGGGATGCAGACTTCCAAGAGGCAGTGTAATCTCTGTGCCAGAGATCTGCATTCTCGTTAGAGTTTAAAGTCAGTTTTAGGCAGGCATTTTTATAGTCATCATGTATAAAAAAAATTTACTTTGATGTTTGAGGGGAATATACTGAATTCTTTATTTTAGCAAGAGACTAATAACTTGATTTCCTAGTCTTGCTAGAGTGGCCTGCAAACGGACAGGCATGAAATATGATAGAATCTATTTTCTTTTGTTTTGTTAAAAAATGTATATATATGTGTGTATACATACATACCATACACACGTGTGTATGTGTGTATATATACGTATATATAATTTTTTTTTAACTGAGACCAACATTGTGACATAGTGGGTTAAACCACATTTGCTGCGCACAGTGAGAGAGAAATCTACCCGTTGGTTTACTGCCCAAATGACTGTACCAGGCAGGTCTGAGTCAGGTTGAGACCAGGATCCAGGCACTCCATTCTGGTCTCCTGTGAGACTGGCAGAGGCCCACGTACTTTGTCATCTCCCATTGCATCGAGTGACTTGGGTTGTCATCTGTTGACTTTTTGGATTGGTAGGAGACAGTCTAGTAGAAGAGATAGAATTGGAACAATATATTACAGTGGAGTTGCTAGTGTAATAGAAAGATAAGATTTATATATATATGTTATATTTAATTTAATTATATATATATATAATTAATTTGGGGCCAGTGCATTAGCTCTGACTTGCAGCATGAACATCCCGTATGGATGTTGGTTTGTGCCCTGGCTGTTCCACTTCCAATGCAGCTCCCTGTTGTGTCCTGGAAGAGCAACAGAGGATGGCCTAAGTCTTTGGGCACCTACACCACGTGGGGAACCCTGAGGAGGCTCCTGGCTCCTGGTTTTGGATTGGCTCAGCTCTGGCCTTGGGACCCTGGGAGACCCAGGAAAAATAAATAATGTTCTCTTACCTCCTGCAGTGTATCATTAACTACTTGCAGAAAAGTAAAGGGTTATACAGTGAGCGTCCATGCTTGCTCGTTGCCTACATTCTACAGAATGTTAGCTTGTCATCATAATTGCTTTGTTATGTCCATCTGTCTCCACTCAATATTCTGTCCTTTTTCAAAAGATTTTTTAAGATTTATTTATTTTTCTTGGAAAGTCAGATATACAAAGAGGAGGAGAGACAGAGAGAAAGATCTTCCGTCCGATAGCCCACTCCCCAAGTGACCACAACGGCTGGTGCTGCGCTGATCCAAAGCCAAGAGCCCAGATACTCTTCTGGGACTCCCACGTGGGTACAGGGTCCCAAGGCCTTGGGCTGTCCTCGGCTGCTTTCCAGGCCACAGGCAGGGAGCTAGATGGGAAACGGGGCTGCTAGGATTAGAACTGGCACCCATATGAGATCCTGGTGCATTCAAGGCGAGGACTTTAGCTGCTAGGTCACAGCGCCAGGCTCAACACTCAAATATTCTACCAGAGGTGTGAGAATATTGGTGATGTCTTCAGTTTCAACTGCTGTTTTCCACTTTTTTTTTTTCTGTACAAACTGTTTTCTGTCCCATTTATTACTGTTCTTCATGGTTCTTTATTTTTGCTACACATTTTTATCTGAGAGCCAGGTTTAAAAGAGATGTCCCACCTGCTGACTTCTCAGATGGCTGCAATGGCTGTAGCTAAGCTGATCTGAAGCCAGGAGCCTGGAGCTTCTTCCAGGTCTCCTGTGTGAGTGTAGGATCCCAAAGCCTTGGGCTATCCTCTACTGCTTTCCTTGGCAGGGAGCGGGGGTTGAAAGTAAAGTATCTGGGACTAAGACAGCTGCCCAGATGGGATGCTGGTACTGCAAGCAGAGGATTAGCTTGCTAAGGCACTGCATTGGACCCTATCAATTTTTGTCAATATAAAAAGAAAGAGGTTTCTTGTGTATAGATTGTAGGGTTAACCATCATAGTTCCTTCTCTCTCCCTTCCATCTTCAATCCCCTTCCTTCCTCCTCCTCTTTGTGTGTGTTGTTGTTTGTTGTTCTTGCTTTTTGAAGTAACTTGGTTTCTGCTTACTTAATAATCAGAGCTTACTGTACCATAGTACCCAGCAGGTAAAAAGCAGAAATCCCCAAGAATAGAGACCAGGGTTATAAACAACCCTTTAAGATTTGTGATTCATTTTTATTTTATTTAAAAATGGTTATTTATTTGAAAGGCAGAGCAACAGAGAGTGAGAACAGAATGCCCCATCTGTGTACTAAGCTCCCTGAGCACACCCTGCAGCTGCTGTGTACGAGTGGATTTCCCACCCAGGGCTGTGGTTCGCACTGCCTCTCTGGGCAGGAGTTTAGCAGGAGATGCTGAGATGAGATGCTTGGCACCAAAGGCCTGCCTTCCCGTGGGGCTCTGCTTTAGTTGCTTTTTGCAAGTTTCATTTATTGTGTTTTTATGGTGATTCAGTTTAAAGCGTTTCTAACTTTGATTTCTTCTTTGATCTTGATTGTATATCTGACTTTATTTCTATTGCAAAATTGGATATATAAAGGAGAGGCAGAGAGGAAGATCTTCTGTCTGATGATTCCTCCCCAAGTGATATACAGATCTTGGATCTGTATATCTGACTTTCCAATAAAAAAAAAAAGTAGTATAGCTTGGGTTACTTTTTTTTTTTAAGTATATATTCTTTGGTTCAGAGTTTGGAAAACAGTTTTTATATTATATTTTTTAAGATGTATTTATTTTTGTTGCAAAGTCAGATGTAGAGAGAGAGGAGAGACAGAGAGGAACATCTTCCGTCCATTGATTCATTTCCCCAAGTGACCGCAACAGCCGGATCTGCGCTGATCCGGAGCCAGGAGCCAGGAGCTCTTCCAGGTTTCTCACGCGGGTGCAGGGTCCCAAGGCTTTGAGCTGTCCTCGACTGCTTTCCCAGGCCACAAGCAGGGAGCTGGATGTGAAACAGGGCCGCCAGGATTAGAACCGGCACCCATATGGGATCCAGGCATGTGCAAGGTGAGGACTTTTAGCCCCACTTTTCTTCTTTGTTGCATTCATGTTTTCTGTCATTTTTTCATGATTTTGGGTCATTTTTCTGGTTGGTGTTTGTGTTCCTGGAAAGTTTGTACTGGATATTGGATTTAATAAGTGCTTAGATGTTGTTTCCTTTAAATATTGTAGTTTTTGTTCTAGGACTTGTTTGAGTGGTTGAGTCATTTTGCCCCTTCTGAGGCTTGCTTTCTGGGCTGTGGGGCAGCTTTGAAGGAATCATTTTTCTGCCAAGCTGAATATTAATGCCCCCAGGATGTATTGAGTTCATTTCTCTAAAAGCATTACTCTTTGGGTGCTAAAAGTTTGGCAATATTCCGATGCCTCATGGTACCTTTGTTAAGACCCTGAAGTTACTGTGATGATACCCCATGCTCAGCTGTCTCTATTTCTGTCTGTCTTCCTTCCCTGCTCACCCCAAGAGCCGCGTGTTTTCTTTTTTTCTTAAGATTTTTACCTCTATTTTTTATTGGAAAGTAAGAGAGGAGAGGAAGATCTTCCATCTGCTGATTCATTCCCCAAGTGGTCACAATGGCCAAGCTGAACTGATCCAAAACCAGGAACCAATAGCCTCTTCCTGGTCTCCCATGCGGGGGCAGGGTCCCGAAGCGTTGAGTTGTCCTCTGTTGCTTTCCCAGGCCTCAAGCAGGGAGCTGGATGGGAAGTAAGGCCGCTGGGATTAGAACTGGTGCGCATATAGGATCCTGGTGTATATAAGGTGAGGACTTTAGCCACTAGCCTACCGCACTGGACATTTTCTTACTTTCACAATAGCATGGAGCTGGTGTGGTGGCATAGCAAGCTATTCTTCTACCTGTCAGCATCCTATATGGATGCTGGTCCATGTCCCAGCTGCTCCACTTCCCATCCAGCTCCCTGCTGGTGGCCTGGGAAAACAGCAGAGGATGGCCCAAAGCCTTGGGATCCTGTACCCATGTCATATGCCTCCTAGGAGATCTGTTAGCAGAAAGCTGGATGGGGAGTGAAGGTGGGCCTGGTCCTAGCCACTCTGATAGGGGATCTGGGGGTACTGGGTAGCTGCTTAAGCTCCTCCCAGATCTTATTTTTCTCTTTTCCCTGTCACAATTAGCCATGCCCCCATCTAAACTGCTTCTTTACTCAGTCTAACTGGAGTCAGGCGGTTACTTAGCACAGCTCTGTCACCTGTACCCCAGCTCTTTCATTGTAGTATTTCTGGTAGACCATTTGTACCCATAATGTTTTTTCTTATCTAGACCACAGGCAGCTATGAACCTGTGAAACCGGAATTGTGTCTCTGCCTCCCAGCGCCCAACATGAAGCACTGGAGGGTTGAGTTCGGGTGAAGCACATTGCCTTAGGTCCTTGTTAATCAACTTCTGCCCTCCCTGGGCTGCTTGTGGAAGTCGGCCATCTCTGCTTCCTGTGGGCTGTGCTTGTTGTCTCCTGCTCACGTTCTAAGACCTGTCCCTTTTTTCTCTAGCTGAGGCCTGCTTTCTGAGCTTACCCTGCTACCAGGTGGCTCCCCTCATCCATTTCTACATGTAGTTCTCTGGCAGGACTTTTCTTGGTGTGACAGGTATAACCTGTTTGAGTAGAAAATACCTGTTCCAATTGAGAAAAAGCCGTTTGCATGTTCTTACCTTTGTTCCCATGTCTGATGTGAGAGACATTTGAACAGTAAGATAAAAGGACACTGCCTTTGATTCTCCACAGAGGAATAAATGATAATGGTTAGGTATAGTTCAGAATACTGTGTTCATGTGCAGGCATCATTGTGCAGTGGGTTAAGCTGCTTCCTGCTGTACTGGTGTCCCATGTGAGAGTCCTGGCTCTGCTTCTTACTTAGCTCTGGGAAAGTTGTGGAAGATGGCCCTAGTGCTTGGGCTCCTGTACTCATGTGAGAGACCCGGATGAAGCTCTGGTCTTTGGGTTTGGCCTGGTACACCCTGGCCGTTGGGCCAATTGGAGAGTGAACCAGTGGGTGGAAGATCTTTCTCCCTCTCCCGCCTTCTTCCTTCCTTCCCTCTTTTTCCTCTCTCTCTCTGAAACTCTTTCAAATAAATAAATATATTTTTAAAAAATCCTTATAATGTAAAAATACTGTGTCTAGTATAAAAATTGAAGTTTTGTTTAATGCACTTGTGAAACGTATAGGCACTTTAGAATCATGCTGTATGCTTAGACTTTGCTTACATAAAGAGAAAATTGTTGGATGTCCTTACGTGTTTCTTAAAAAGTGATTTTTTAAAAAAACTTACTTATTTATTTATTTGAAAGGCAGAGAGAAATGCCTTTTATCTGTTGGTTCACTTCCCAAATTACTGCAACAGCTAAGGCTGGCTAGCCTGAAGCCATGAGCAATGATCTTCATCCGGGTCTCCCAGATGGGAGTAGGAGCTTATACACTTTAGCCATTGTTTGCTGCTTTCCCAGTAGTTTTAGCAGTGAGCTGTATCAGACGTGGAGCATCTGGGGTCCAGCCTGGTACCCAGATGGGCTGCTGGTGCTGCTATGGCAGCTTTACATGTTTCATAGCACTGGGCCCTGAAACTACTTTTTTTTTTTTTTTTCTAAAACTGGTTTTAAGTTGAATCATTTCAACATTTTTCTCAGGTTTCATAATTTTTTATGCTTTTACTTTCATTTCTCTCTTCCCATGAGAGTTTCTTAGGCACCAAGTAATCTTGATCAGGTTGTAATGAGATATTGATCTTACGATTTCTTATAATAGTTGTCTCCCCCTTTTTCTCTTTATTTTTAAAGGACCTTAAAGACTTTGATCCTGGAGAAAAGTACTTGCATAACACATCCTGGGGTGATGTTTCTCTGTGGGAGCCTTCTGGAAAGAAAGTGGTAGGTATTTTTATACCTTTTGTGTTATTGAAGTTAAGGGTAAATGGAACCTTTAAATAGATCAGGTTGCTAGTGAATGGAGAGGAACTAATTAAACTATTCATGGAAGAGAAAGGAAAATGGAATTTAGTGTTTGGTAATGTAGGGTTATCGATGCTTGAATGTTTTCTGATATTTGTCCGACATTGCCAGTGTGTGATGGGTCTTTGATTTAATCATCGGCGCCTCAGTGTTGAGTGTGTGAGAGCCCTCAGACGGAACAGTACTTCTGTCACTAGCCAGCTGTGAATATGGTGGTGGTCCCGTAGGTTAGAATGGAGCTGAAAAATTTTTGTCAGCTAGCAAGGTTAGAGCTGTTGTCATATCATCTTAGGCTAGCACATCTTGTGTGTCAAAGTGTGCTCGGCATGGTGATTGATAATGATGGTACATAGCTGTGTTTCTGATTTATAATCATGTGTCACTTAACACTGACACATCTGAGAGCTCTGTCATTTGTTCCTCCTCTGATGTGTGGCCTTCACAGGATACACTTGGTGAACCCGGATGGTTCTGCCTGCCGCCCGCCAAGGCTGAGTGCTTGCTTACTGATGTAGGTGGTAATTACTTGGTGGTACTTCTGCTGGATAGCGAAGGCAGCCGTAACAGGAAGAAGTACAGTAATATACAGTATACCAGATGAAAATGGTGGACCTGTAGGGAGCATGTGTGTGAATGGAGCATGCAGGACTGGAAGCTGCTCTGGGCTGAGGAGTGAGTATGGGGAAGCTGATGGAAGGCCTGGGACACATTGTACTCAGGCGATAGGATTTCTTCAGTAATCAGTTAGCTTGAAGTGACTTTCTTTACAAACTTTTAAACTTTGTGATTCTTTTGTAATGTTTAAATGAGAGGCATTGTAAGTTGTATAATACTTTATTATTTAACCTATAAGCTTTTTTTTTAAAGATTGATTTATTTGAAAGGCAGTGCATCAGAGAGAGAAGGACATCTTCTGTCTGCTGGTTCACTCCAAAATGGCAGCACTGGAGCACAAGTTGAGTCCTGGACACTCGGCTCTGATCCAGCTCCCTGCTAAAGCCACAGAGAATGACCTAAGTGCTTTGGACCCCTGCACCCACATGGAGGGCCTTGGTAGAATTCTGGGCAGCTGGCTTTCACTGCAACCATGGGAGCTCTTTCTGCTTTTGTCTCTTTCGCTCTGCCTTTTAAATAAATAAATACATCTTAAAAAAAAAAAAATGAAGGGGCCTGGCGCCTAGCAGCTATAGTCCTCACCTTGCACATGCTAGAATCCCACAAGGGTACCGGTTCGTGTCCTGGTAGCCCCACTTCCCATCAAGCTCCCTGCTTGTGGCCTGGAAAAGCGGTGGAGGACAGCCCAAAGCCTTGTGACCCTGCACCTACGTGGGAGACCCAGAAGAGGCTCCTGGCTCCTGGCTTCAGATTGGCGCAGCTCCCGCCATTGTGGCTGCTTGGGGAGTGAATCAGTGGACAGAAAATCTTGCTCTCTGTTTCTCCTCTCTCTGCATCTGACTTTGCAATAAAAATAAAACAAATCTTTAAAAAAAAAAACAACTTTATGACTTTTAGACCTCATTGATTTTTCTCATTCCCAGTTCTTAAAGTACAATGTGATATGTCTTATGTAAAGTGACACACTTGTCATCAAGATTGTAATTTATTTTCAAGACCTCGGGAGAGCTTGCACCTGCTTGTTGACTGCCTACGTGCACACACCAGACATGTGCTGGAACTCATCCGTGTCTGCCTCCTCCCAGGGCGCCCCAAGAAGCTGGATGGAAGTAGAATTAGGAGTCAGACACAGAAATGAAATTGGGAGCTCCCAAAGTAGCTGCTAACCAAAACATTTTTGAAAATTTGCTCATTTTTATTGGAAAAGCAGATTCACAGAGAGAGTGAGACAGATCTTCAGTCTGCTGGTTCATTTCCCAAATGGCTACAGCAGCCAGGCCACAACCAGGAGTTTTTTTCTGGGTCAAGCTATGTGGGTGCAGGGGCCCAAGCACTTGGGCCATCTTCTGCTGCCTTCCCAGGAGCAATATCAGGGAGCTGGATTGGAAGTAGAACAGCTAGGATTTGAGCCGATACCCCAGAGGATGCTGGCTCTGTGGTTGACAGGTTAATCCACCAAGCCATAGTTCTGAGCCCCTGTAGTGACTGCTGGTGGTGAGTGGATTTCCATCTGTTTACTTCAGTTACAGTTACAGTTAAGAAGGACTTAATATTAACCAGTGCTGGCATGTAGTCATGAATGAGTTCCTTTGGTTCTTTTATTGAATATACAGTTTTTCTAATAGTATGTTTGAGTGTAAGATACACCATTTAAAGTGAGCCACAGATATCAGCTAAAGTGACAAACTGCACTGTACTTACAAGCCATGGCTTGCAAGGACTATCCAGATTTCAGATACTCAGATGTTCAAAACTGTTCTCAAATCTCATGAAGGGTTTTTGTTCTTGACGCAAGTGGTTTAGGGTTGTGGCTGTGGCCTTAAGTTTGCTTTAGATCCTCCCACAAATTATAAATCGTTGGGTTTGTTGACTCTGAGAACATGGTAACATGATGCTGAACATGTTGGGATAAGTTGTCTAGCCTGTGAATCAAGAGGAAACTGAGTGTGGAGAGAGAAGTGTAAGTACGTGTTGGAGAGAGCTGAAAAAGACTGATGGTGCTACAGGTGGCTGGGGGATCTAGAGATCTGCATCCTCCGGAGCCTGGAACAAGTTAAATTGGCTCCTATTTCAAGATTGTGGTTCAGGCAATGGTGTCTGTGTGTCCTCTGATCATGGGCAGCAGTAATGTGGTTGTCCTGTAGTGGGCTGCTCTCCGCATTTGGCTGGTGGATTGGTAAATGTCTGTTCAGAGTTCCCATGTGACGGGCACTGTGTCTGGTGGCTGTACGCATGCACTGCTGAGTCCGGGCACAGTCTCTTCTTTCTGCCTTCAAGTGGCTTGTTGGGTGGGTGTCACTGGGTCCCTATTATCACTAGGAACAGGGAAGTTATTCTTTTTATTTCCCCATTATTAGGATAACAGTTTGAAAGCTCGATTGGTTGTTTTAGAATCTTGGAGTAAAAACAAAATTGGAACCAAGAATTGGGATAAGAGTGAGAAAATCATTTTATGATGCAGGACATGAGTTGTTGATTGTTGCGGTTAGTTCAAAGTACAGATTGGGTTGTGTGTACTTGAACTGGGGTCAGCACACTACAGGTTGTGGGCACAGCCTGTGTTCACCCCACAGGGTTAGAAGAATTGCTCCGTGTTTAAGTGTTCAAGAAGATACACAGGGATACTGTTTGGTGGGTCATGACATTTAAGTCCATGTCATAACACAGCTTTAGAGGAGCTTAGGTATGCCTACTCCTGGCCTGTCTCTAATGGGCACTCATGCTTGGTGATAGTCCAGACTGTGTTGTGTGGCCTGAGTCCCCAGATGCTCGGTGTCTGGCCCTTTGCAGGGAAGGCTTGCTAACTCCTGCTCTGAAAGACACTCCGTTCCCTGTCTCAGCTGCAGACAGCCACCTGGCTTTGTTGGACTGTGCCTAAGACTTGGTCTTCTTTCAACAGAGATACCGGACGAAGCCGTACTGCTGCAGCCTTTGTAAGTACTCGACAAAGGTGCTGACTTCATTCAGGAACCATTTACATCGCTGCCACGAGGACGAGATTGACCAGGAGCTGGTGATTCCTTGCCCCAACTGTGTGTTTGCTTCTCAGCCTAGAGTGGTGGGAAAGCACTTCAGAATGTTTCATGCTCCTGTTCGCAAAGTCCAAAACTACACGGTGAATATTCTAGGAGAAACAAAATCGTCGAGGAGTGATGTGATAAGTTTTACGTGTTTGAAATGTAACTTTTCCAACACTTTGTACTACAGCATGAAGAAGCATGTACTAGTAGCTCATTTTCACTACTTAATTAACTCCTACTTTGGCCTACGAAATGAGGAAACGGGTGAGCAACCGAAGACTAATGATGGTCTCTGTGGGGAGAAGGGGCCGCCGTCTGACAGATTCTACTGTAAGAAGTGCAGTGCCAGTGCCAGCAGCCAGGATGCATTAATGTACCACATCCTGACATCAGACACACACAGGGATTTGGAGAACAAGCTTAGATCTGTGATCTCAGAGCACATTAAGAGGACTGGACTTATGAAGCAAATGCATATAGCACCAAAGCCAGCCGCACGCATGGCCATCCCACGCAACAACAGTGCTCCCCCTGGTCTCACGGCCCCACCTCCTTGCTTTCGTCTTGCCTTGCCTCAGAACAATCAAAGCTCAGCTGTGGTGCAGTCGGTGACTGTGGCCCCTGGCACGTCTGGGAACCTCACTCAAACTCCGTCTGCTATTGCCCAGTCTCGGGTGACTCTGGTCTCTAGTCCTCTGCCCGTGTGCCAGAGCAGCCTCGCTCTACAGCCGTCGGCTCCTCAGCCTGTCTTCCTCTCCCCCGGGGTCCCACTTAATAAGCCTGGGAATCCTCCTGTGCTGCCCCTGAGCCAGCCTGTGAGACCTGCAAAGAAGTCAGTGGCCACTGGTGTCCTCCCTGTGAACCAGGCCGTTCGCCCTGGGGTCTTACCCCTCGCCCAGCCTGTGGGGCCTGGAAACAGGCCCCCTGGGCCTGGGGTCCTTCCTGTGAACCCCACTGTCACCCCTGGGGTTCTGCAGGCTGTCTCTCCAGGGGTCATTTCTGTGAGTCGAGCAGTCCCATCAGGGGTTCTACCTACGGGCCAGATGACTCCTGCTGGGGTTATTCCTGGACAGACAGCAACTTCTGGGGTTCTACCCCCTGGCCAGATGGTCCAGTCAGGGGTTCTCCCTGTTGGCCAGACAGCCCCATCTCGGGTTCTGCCCCCTGGCCAGACTGTGCCGTTGAGGGTTCTCCCTCCCGGCCAGGCGGTCTCTTCTGGGCTGCTTTCCCCTAACCAGACGGTTGCCACAGGTGCCGTTCCTGGGAACCAGGGCGTAGGGTCTGGTGTTCTTCAGCTCAGCCAGCCCGTCGTGTCAGGAGTTGTGCCCATGGGCCAGCCGGTGAGGCCTGGTGTTCTGCAGCTGAGCCACCCAGTGAGCACCAGCATTGTGCCTGTGAACCAGCCAGTGAGAGCTGCTGCCGCCGCTGCACAGAACACCACCTTTCTCACCTCGGGCTCAATTCTCCGGCAGCTCATCCCCACAGGAAAGCAAGTGAATGGCATTCCCACCTACACACTGGCCCCACTCTCAGTCACCCTGCCAGTTGCCCCAGGAGGCCTCACAACCGTCACCCCACCACAGATGCCCATCCAGCTCCTGCCCTCAGGGGCACCTGCGCAGACAGCCGGCTCTGTGCCCAGCCTGCCCACACCTCCTGTGCTGGTGGGCGCGGCCCAGAGCATGTTCATCCAGGCCTCTCCACCCATGGCAGATGCAAATCAGGTGCTCAGACAGGCCAAGCAATGGAAAACCTGCCCCGTGTGTAACGAGCTCTTTCCATCCAACGTGTACCAGGTTCACATGGAGGTGGCTCATAAGCACAGCGAGTCCAAGGTGGACCAGAAAAGGGAACCCGAGAAGCTGGCAGCGTGTGCCCCGTTCTTAAAGTGGACGAGGGAGAAAGTGGTCCGCTGCCTGTCCTGCAAACGCTTGGTCTCAGAGGGGGAGCTAATCCGCCACTTGCTGATGCATGGCCTGGCATGCCTGTTCTGCCCTTGCACCTTCCATGACATCAAGGGCCTCTCGGAGCACAGTAAGACCGTGCACCTGGGGAAGAAGCGGCTGCCTGTGGATTACAGCAACAGGGGCTTCCAGCTGGAGCTCGATGCCAATGGTAGCCTGCTCTTTCCCCACCTGGATTTCATCACTGCACTGCCAAAAGAGGAGCTTGGTGAGCAGGAGGTATACCTGGCTATCCTTGCTGGGATACACTCCAAGTCCCTGGTGCCTGTCTACGTGAAAGTGAGGCCCCAGGCTGAGGGCGTGCCTGGAAGCCTCAGCAAGCCGGCCCTGACCTGCCCCTTCTGTTTTGCCACCTTTGGGACAACGGAAGCCTATGAGCTGCACCTGAAGGAGCGACACCACATCATGCCCACAGTGCACACGATCCTCAAGTCTCCGGCCTTCAAGTGCATCCACTGCTGTGGGGTCTACACTGGAAACATGACCCTGGCGGCCATCGCCATCCACCTGCTGCGCTGCAGAAGTGCTCCTAAGGACAGCGGCTCCGACCTCCAGATCCAGCCTGAGCTCGTCAGCAACAGTGAGCTGCTGCTGGTCCGTGGGGAAGTGATCCAGGACGCCAGCTTTCCCGTGAAGAGAAAGCTGTCTGATGGTCACTTGGGGTCGGAAGGCCAGAGAGCTGGGGAGGAGCAGCCTCCCCTTTCGAATGCCGATGCAGCCCCTGGCCCCGAAAAGGGAGCAAGTGCTGTGCCTTGTAAAAGACAGAGGAATGAGAGCAGGACAGAGGGACAGACGACCAGTGAGGACGTGCTTCAGATTTTAGCACTGGATCCCAAGAGATACGAGGACCGCTCTTACGAGAAGAAAAAGCAGTTTCTCAGAGATTATTTTCACAAAAGACCATATCCTAGTAAAAAGGAAATAGAATTGCTATCTTCACTCCTATGGGTGTGGAAAATTGACGTGGCTTCATTTTTTGGAAAACGTAGATACATTTGCATGAAAGCAATAAAAAATCACAAACCCTCTGTACTTTTAGGGTTTGATATGTCTGAACTTAAAAATGTTAAACATAGACTGAACTTTGAGTATGAACCGGAAAGCTTATGAAAAAGAGTGAAAGTGCTAGGTAATAGATTTGCTATTGAGATTTAAGATAGGTTGTTTCTTCACTGTGTTGAATTAATCAATTTCAGTGGTTGTTATGCTGCTCTTTAGATTTATTTCAGGTGCTGAGAAAGACTAGTTTTTTCAGATAGAGTTTCCTACAGTTTGATTTGTAAATTATTTTTTTTCTGTCATGTAAATTAAATTTTTTCATGCACGCCTTGTTTTCCTAGTAGTGTCAGTGATTATACAACTAAAAAACTGAAATTTTCCATTTAAGGAATTTCCAGTTTTTTTTTTCCAGAAACGTGACGTGACTTGCTGCAGGCTGGGCGGCTGGCTCTCCTGTATCCTGCACAGCAGTGGCAGCTCAGCAGGTGCAGCAGTGTGGGCACAGGCCCTCTGGTGTTGCCCGTGAGGGACATAACAGCATCACCTTAGACTGGTTTCTTTGGAAGCCACTTGCTTATTAGATTATAACTTTGAGTTAGCCTTTTTCAGGTTTGTCCTAATAGCTTTTTTGGAACAATAAATCATAATTCATGAAAATCAAATGCATTTGTTAGGGATATATTGACTGTGAGGTCTGGAGTCTAGCTCATAAAGCAAGTCGTTTTACACGTGAAGTAACTAGGTGCAGAGTACTTCCGGTGTAGGTGTTCCCATCTCAGTACAGAGTCCTGGCTCCACTCATGTAAGACAGTGAATCTTCAGTGCCTTTTGGATGGAAATAGTGAACACACACACATCTCTTCCTAGCCTGGCTGCTCGGAAACTAGTGCAAGGGAAGGGCCGTGCTACTCAGGAATGAAATCTTTGCCCCTGAGTGTAAATGTCAACTGATAACTGCCTGACACTAAAGGGTTTGTAGGGGACAGGGTGAGCAAAAGCTGTCTGGTTGGTGTCCAGTCAGACATGGTTTCCCAGGAGTGAGAGTGCTGGGCGCGTGGCTGTCCTGTGCCCCGGGTAGGTGGGTGGGGGTCACTAGTGAATCTCCATCGTCTTTCCGTTGTTTGGATGTTAAATCTGGTTTGTTCTACACAATGTCAAATGCGACAGCAGGATCAGTCCTGGAGACCAACAGGTTCAGATGCTGAGCCTTGAGGCTGGTTGATGGCTGCAGAGGAGGACGTGGTGGCCTCTGTGGACTTTGGTGAATCCTCTTGCATGTGTTGCTGTCATGTGCATGCGTGATGCAGCTGTGACACTGCTCTGTGATTGTGGGTGTTTCTGTTGTAAATTCAGAAAGAGCTTGTTGACCCTTTTTTTAACCTGTTGTTTTCAGAGTATCTATTTTGAATTAAAATTTGTTACATCACTGCAAATAGGACTGTTTAAATTCTTTTAACATTATAGCAATATGCTAACTCAGGAAGGAATCTGAACAAAATCATTATATCATGTGTCTGCATGCACAGCTTGGAGGGGCTAGTGATGGGGTCACAAGGAAGTGTGCTGGAGATTGCTGATGTGTCTATCAGTGGCCCCCAAAGTGCCAGGAGGGAGGTACCCAGGACAAGAACGATATGGGGGCCTTCACTGTGACTGCGCCCGACCACGTGGGGTCTTGGGTCTGTTGTGGTCTAAGCCTCAACCTCTGTGCTGGGTGGCCCAGCCACTGGGCCTCAGGGCGACAGTTCCATGTCTGCCCGTGTAGCCCAGATTCCTGCTGAACTTGTGCTAATGAAGGCATGAATCCTTTGAGGAAAACTGGGGAGTTTGGTTTGCTTATTTTTGTTTTCAGAGCTTGAATTACAATCTCTTGCTGGTATGAACCTTCTGTCTGCTAATTATGAAGGGTGACTATGCAGCATATATGCTAATTTAGGCTTCTGATTAGGTTTTCAGATATGTGGAGAGTAGAATCATTTTAGGCTTTAATAATTTGAATTTTAGTTGTCAGTTCAAAAGTCATTTTAGCTATGTGGAGGCCGAAGGATCCCAGTTGAAAGGAAAGCAACTTCCGTGTTGAACAGCTGAGTTCTGAGAGCGCCCTGCTTGTCTGACGGCAGAACTGGTGGGTCCTGGAGCTGCTGGGTGAACGATGCGGCCATAGGCCTGCGAGCTGAGCCCTCTGCTGCCTCAGGAGGTCCCCTAGGCACAGTGTGTGGGTGGTCAAGCTCACTGACCCCCAGTTGTCTATGCAGTTGACTTAGTATTTGTAGTAAGAGAGCTCCCAAGTTCCCATCGCAGCCAGGGTGGAGCCAACCCAAGGCCAGAACCAGACCTCAGTCTGGGTGTTCCTGGTGGGTGACTGGATCCCAACAGCTTGAGGCCCAACATGATCTCCCACTGTGCGCATGAGTAGGATGCTGGAGTTGGAAGTGAAGCCAAGACTTGAAGTCAGGTGATCTGAAGTGAGACCAGACTCCTGCCCTGGACGTATGGTTTGAGAAGAAAATAACCTTGTCAAGGGGTAATGGAGATGAGTTTTCCACAGGTTTTTACAGCTCTTGAGCCCCGTTGGTCCCACATGGGATTAGGGCAGCACTCAGAGAAGGAAGCAGTCTTTTCTGAAAGGACAGCTCAAATAAGAACTGGAAATCAGGCATCAGAAGATTGTAGGCCAACAGCAAGAGACAAGGAGAGGACAGAGGGAGTTGTTCATGGCAGGAGGTTGGGGAACACATCCTGGAAGCCAGGTGGATGGGCAGCCACAGAGAAACATGGAATGTAAGGTCACACATTTGAGTACTAATCAATTTTCACTGTTTTCCAGTTTGCTGTTGTTACAACCCGTGATATGAAAAGCAATATAAGGTTAAGAAATGTACCTTTTTCCTGAGGGTGATACAGGGAAGCAAACAAAGCTAGACCTGACTTTTAAGAAGGTTTTAGTGGTTGGGCCCAGTGCAATGGTTCAACTGGCTAATCCTTTCCTTGTAAGTGCTGGGATCCCATATTGGTGCCAGTTCATGTCCTGGCTGTTCCTTTCCAATCCAGCTCCCTGCTTATGGCCTGGAAAAGCAGTCAAGGACGGCCCAAAGCTTTGGGACCTACCTTGCACTTGTGTGGGAGACCTAGAAGAAGCTCCTGGTTCCTGGCTTTGGACCAGCTCTGCCGTGGCCATTGTGGCCATTTGGGGAACGAAGCAGCAAATGGAAGATCTTTCTGTATTTGCTTTCCTATCTGTAAATCTGCCTCCCCCCACCCCCCCAAAAAGATAAATCTTTAAAAAATAGAGAATCGGGCCCGGCAGCGTGGCCTAGTGGCTAAAGTCCTCACCTTGAACGTGCCGGGATCCCATATGGGCACCAGTTCTAATCCCAGCAGCTCCACTTCCCATCCAGCTCTCTGCTTGTGGCCTGGGAAAGCAGTGGAGGACGGCCCAAAACTTTGGGTCCCTGCACCCGTGTGGGAGACCCGGAAGAAGTTCCTGGTTCCCGGCTTTGGATCACTGCAGCACTGGCCGTTGTGCTCACTTGAGTGAGTGAATCATTGGACGGAAGATCTTCCTCTCTGTCTCTCCTCCTCTCTGTATATCTGACTTTGTAATAAAAATAAATAAATCTTAAAAAAAAAAAGAATCAAGATGGTGGAATAGGGTAAGGACATGTTAGAACAGATGGAGAAATGTTAACCTGAGTGAAGGAGAGAGGGCACATTCCAGGAAATAGGAGAGGACAGAACAATAGCAGAGGGGCACCTGGAGACTGTCAGACATGGGAAAGCAGCGGACACAACAATGTGGTGCTGCAGTGACCGATATCCCAGTAGTGAGTGATGCACCATCAGCTGGAAGCAAGAGACCCGTTTCTGGTGGGAAGGGATGTTCACCAGAAGCTCAGGAGGTGAACCCAAAGATCTGCCCATTCTGCTGGTCTTTTTGATTTGACCATGAGCAGAGACAGAGTAGCAGATTCCAGATAGGCAGTGCAGGAACAGGGTGGATTTCACAGCCCAGTCCACCCCCTAGGGCCGGATCGGGCACCATTTTGTCTAGAGAGACAAAGGCTATTGGGACAGGACTGAGCATGCACTGAGTTGGGAGTGAACTCATTTCTGGCTCGGTGAACGGAAACAATGTGACAGTTCCACCTACAGCTTCCACCCAAGATAGGTCCAGGTAGCCCTCAGACCTGATGGCCAGCAGATCAAGAACTCTAGTAGTGGCACATTAGGTGCCATTTTGTACAGTGTGGCAAAGGCTTTGATACTGCAGGGATAACAGTGAGCTGCACATGTGCTGAGCTGGGAATGAACCCACTGAGATCAATGCATTGCACTCGTCCCACAGGGAAAATAATACTGACTTTGGCATCATATGGGTCTAAATAGGTCCATGTGGTCCTCAGACCTAATTGCTAACAGGTTCTGTCAAGATAAGTACCACCAACAACCTAGCTATATAGGACCCCTGGTATCTCCCTAATCCTGGGAACTGCTCCAACTGGAAGTGGGAGAAAGGTTGTACAGACAACGGTGCAGCCTCAGCACAGTATCACAGGAGGTGGAGAGTGATGAGCCAGGAGCTGGGGCTGTGGAGACCACGGTGGAAGTCACAAGAACTCAGAGCTGGAACTTAATGGAGGGAGTGGCACAAGTGACTGCAAACAAAGAACCCTATACCAATCACAATAAGTAAAATGGAATTGTTGATCTGTGGATGACACAGCTTAGAAACCTGCTCCAAGGAGAAGAATCTGCTAACCAGAAGCACAATGACCAAGAGTAAAAGAAGAGACAAAGGCACAATAAATATTACTGAAGATTCCCCTGCAAAGGAGCAAAAGCCTTTGCCAACCTCAGAGTTCACTAAGGAATACATTGAGAAAATGGGCCATACTGAATTCAAAACACTGGTTATAAAGCTTCTTATCAACAATGAGAAGCACGTAATACAGGAGTTTAAGAAATTTAAGGAATATGTCACACAGGAAATGAATCAAATGAAAGCTGATATATCAGAAATGAAGAATACAGTGGAGCAAATTAAAAGTACAGTGGAGAGTCTCCAAAATAGAATGAAGCAAGCAGAAGAAAGAATCTCAGAATTGGAAGATATTTTCTGTCACCAGGGGAAAACAAACAAAGAGCTGGAAGCAGAGTTGCGTCAAGCTAAAAAAAGTATTCAAGAATTGAAAAAATTAAAAGGCCAAAATATAAGAGTGATGTCCCAGAAGTGCAGAAAGAGAAGCTGGGTTAACAAAATGTATTTAATGAAATAATAAGGGAAAATGTCCCTAATCTAGAGAAAGAATTGGGAAACAACATTCAGGAGGGTCACAGAACTCTTAACAGGGTTGGTCAAAAGCCATCTTCACCACGACACATGATAATCAAGCTCTCTTCAGTCAAACATAAGGGAAAGATCCTTAAATGTGCACGCGAAAAAAATCAATTGACATATAGAGGAATGCCAATTAAATTCACAGGAGACCTCTCACAGGAAACTCTATAGGCCAGAAAAGAATGGAGAGACATATTTCAGATTCTAAAAGCAAAAAATAGTCGGTCCAGGATAACATACCCAGCAAAGCTTTCCTTTGTCTTTCAAGTGAAATAAAATTCTTCCACAGGAAAACACAAACAAAAAAAGTTACAAGAATTTGCTTCTTCCAAACCTGCCCTACAAAGGATATTTAAAGATGTTCTCTTGACAGAGAAAAGGAATAGCACCCACCAAACCAAAGGCAAATGTGAAGAACACCCCAATAAAATAACAAGAGAAGACTAACTCAATGGACAACCCATTGCTAAAATAACAGGACCAAATTACCACCGGTTTATATTAACCCTGAATGTAAATGGCTTAAACCCATCTATTTCTTGCCTACAGGAGGCATATCTTATTAGTAAAGATCAGTGGAAACTATATAATGGATTTTTATTTATAATTTTCATTTCTTTAAAATACTTTTTCATTAAATTCTTCATTGACTCATAGATCATAAAGCAGAATCATTTTCTTCAAGATGATTTTTAATTTTTCGTTTCTTCAGTGACACATTAGTCATTTAGTAGCATGTTATATAACCTTGTTATTTTTAATTCCTTTTTTTCCTTCCTGTTAGTGATTTTGTTTTGTGACTTTTCATTTAAGGGGATGTATAGTAACTGTGTAATGGAGACTATCATATCCAAATATGAGGATACAATGCAGTATGCATCTCTACTTCCAGATCAGAGTTGAGCTCCCAATGAAACTGTTAACTGTATTTTGGACAGAGAGTCCAGCCATTGTCCATACCCACAATGATGGACATATGACTGTTTATGAAGAACTATAATATAAGAATAATAAAGGGGGACTCAGTGTGGGTGGGATGGGTCTTTGGGAGGAGGTAAGGGAAATCTCAGGGCTTACGGAACTGTATCATAAAAT